ACTGCATCTTTCGGTATCGGAGGACGCACCAGCCGAAGGCATTGAGTAATGCAGCAGGAAGGGAAGACCAAGCGGGAGCTTTATTTTGTTCTCCCGCTGCTCTACTCTGCTGCTGTGCTCACCACAATATGGTAGCGCTGTCGCAAAAAAACATGCCCACCACCATGCATGGCCGCCACTCTCTATTTATGTGTGTGGTTCCGGCATTTACACTTTCTCTATTCATGCGTGAATCGCCCACAGGCAACCACCCTGGCAAGTAGCGCTGTCGCGAAAACAAGCCCACCAACCACGGCCGCCACACACAATTTATGTGTGTGGTTCCGGCATTCATACTCTCTCTATTCATGCATGAATCGCCACACAGGCAACAACCCTGGTAGGTAGCGCAGTTGGGAATACAAGCCCACCACTACGGCCGCCACACACTATTTATGTGTGTGGTTCCGGCATTTAACTCATGATCATACCACGATCGACTGATCGCTACTAAATCAACAACGTGCTGGCGTCAAGGTATGCTTGGTGCTGTCCAGCAACTTTCTCAGTACAATTGTATGTACTCTGGGAGGACTTCAACGGATTTCGTCGAATCGGACCTCGATTCTCACGGTAAGTCTCCAAGAATTTAATTGTAACTTTGGAAGTATTGTCCACATACTTCGCGGGCAATTGCACAATCTCTGGCTTTTATCCACTGCAGCGTAAATCTGAATCCAGATTATCCCCTGTGATACACACTCGTGTACAGGACACCTCGTGTACAGGACACCATGTGATTCAAAACGACTGCAACGCATATCTGGGGCCAGATCAGTCCATGTGATACACTCGTCTACAGCGCACCATGTGATCCAGCATTCGTGTATGTACTTCCATCGCGTATCGACACCAAACAACAATAGTTTGTGGGTATTGTCTTGCTTGGCTGTGGCTACCACACACTCGTTAGATGCGGAGCCGGTATTGAAACCACGTTCAACATGGTGAACGTAACGCCACAGAACCCACAGTTATTTTTCTCTCCCGCATCGATGCGGAACAACTGCTGTATTTGCGAGTGTATGCATACGTGATCCACATGACTGCGTACTCTTCGTACGGTGGCAACAGCCGTGACAGCCAGCGCTGTCGAAGCAGGCCCACCAACCTCGGCCACCAAACCCGGTTGATGTGTTTAGTCATTGAATCACGTGCGACATGGGTGATTGGGTACGCCACCGAATCAACCCAGCAGCAGCGGGATCTCTCTCCCCATGCAAACGTGCAGAACACTCCGTTGGGGTTGTGTCTCTCCTTGACACACCAAAACACATTGTGGGTTTTGCTCTCTTCCCACATCATCCCACATTGTCATCACATCACCACACGTACCGCTCAGTGTTGCGCCCTAGATGCCACGCCTGCCGGCGCCTGGCGTCCTTGCTCTCCTCTCCGCTCTCGTCGCATCTCGGGACCCCGGGTTCTCAGTTACGACTGCTGTAGCTCGGTAGCCCGATTTCCCAACTGGAAGAGGAGGCAAGAAAAGACTCCACTTCCTGTCAGCTCCAGAGGCCGGCACACCACAGAAGCCTTCTATGTGACCACCTCGCTAGTTGTCTCTGCGATACTCTCTCTCTCTGGCACGCTAAGACTCTGTGGACACAAGGCTTGAACAGAATGGTAACACATGCGACCCCTCCTCTCGACCGAGGGGGCCGCGCAGTACGCAATGCGTTCCGGGTACCCCAAATAAACAGTATGGCAATTCGAGTTGTTTCAATAAACCTCGGTTTGTTTTGTCTACGCCTTTGTCTACGCCTTAAACAAACCTGCCCTTGTTCATGCCGAGAGAGAACGGTTGCCCCTTCAGCATCTCGATTGAAAAGTTAATTGTGTACACGAAGCTCGGTTAAACAATAACCGCGGCTCAGCGTTGCCGTTGGGATAGTATCCTCGTAAACATCTCATGGATCTAGGTTGTCTGTTCGAATCTCGCCAGAGTGAAAGAAATCGCAATTGTACAAACCAAGTGACGAAAAAAGCACGAAGTCGTAAGTACACACAACAAAGAGAGAAGGGACGGCCACCGCCTACGTGAGGGAAAGTACCAAAGTAGTCTACGTACGTAGCAAAATTGATGAAGCAAACATATGGGATAAAGTATTCAATCCTTGCTTTGGGGTTACCCTCGGAGAGGACGGTGGAACAAACAAGCGATCTCCCTGTTTACGGCCAGGTGAGCCCCGGGCTGGTGCATGAAAAACACGTGTATGTAATAACGAAAGGTGTATTTTTAGTTGGATAGGCACACAGGGTAGAAGATAAACAGGGAGTGAAGTATCGGTCTTCGCTTGTTTCGGCATGATAATCGCTTGTGTGATGTGAGAAAAATGCGGGAGCGGATGACAGCACCGAGATGAGCGTTGAGCGGTGTTTCTCCTTCTCAAAATCAAGAGTTTTAGGCCTCGTGCATTGAGTCCACACAAACAAGGAGACACAATTATTAACCGCCCGAGTGATTGGGGAGTTGCGGGTGGACACACCACGTCAATCGCTGCAAAAATATAAACATATGGCAGCAGCATCGATACAGCAGTGCCAACGCGCTGGGCGGAAAACAGGACAGCAATTGCTCCCTAGATTCACCGCTGAGAGAGCTGGTTAACGGATGGGATGTATCTTTCAATGGTTGTCCTTGGATCTTATGCTTGCAGTTGAACAACAGCTTCTCCACAAAACCAAAGGCATTTCATCTTATGCCCTTGATACACGCAGAATTGGCAGTTGACAGCAGTTGACAGCGCGCGCAGACAGCAGCGGCGGATCCTACTGCTGTGTCTACAAACTTTCGCCAGGCAAGGTCGGTCGGTGCTCGGTGCTACGAAGCGGCCTCAACAACGTCCGCCGTAATAAGAACACGCACAGCAGCAGTGTTTGTACAACACTAGCATTCTGATTCGTGCCTCAGCCAGCCACGTTCATTTCATTCGTTCTTTCATTTGTTCCGTGTTTGCTCTCGGTTGCTTCGATTTGACACCGGAGCCGTCTAAACTCCCTTATGGGCAGTCACAAGCACCACCATAGGTCGATTCACCAATGTAAATACAACACTGGGCGTAACTACAACTCACCTGTTCTTGCTATCTTCGCCCTCTGATATAGGGCCGGCTGCACCTCTCCGCTCAATCAAGCCGTCGTTGCTGCTGGTGCTACTAATACCATATTCTTGTTCGGCACTACTGCTGCGTTCGACTGGGCCTTCGTCAAATGGCCACCCAACCAGTTGAGGTGTCTCTGTCCCGACGTCCATCCTGCTGTGTGAATGTATATGCCGCGAGTACAAAAACCTAGAGCAGCAGAAGTCACGATTCACAGGGAGCTTTGAACGTGGTTCGTAGGAGTGTGCTTGAGCTCGACAACTTTGGTGAGAGCGATGCAAAAAACAAACCGAAAACCATTTCACCGTTCGTTCACTTCACCAAAAAAAGGAGACTCAGCAGCATAGACTTAACTACAATATTGTGTCGAAAGCCTGAGACGCAAGAGTTCAACCATTGTTGCGCTCTAAAAGCAAGACGTTTTATTTCGGTGCATCAGTTCGCGGTCGCCTTGAGACTTTTTTTCCGCCGGCTCCTGCCCGCGGCAGCGGGCCAGTCTCTGGATCACAGCCCCCCTGTCGTACAGCACGGTGAATGCACGCAACCACTATTTCAGTCATTGAGCTAGACGTTGCGGTGCGATAAATCGGTTTTAATTGTTTTTAAATGCGGTTTAAACATTTTTTTCGGCCGTCTTCGCCGACGTGGGCGTGCCACTCTCACGATCACAGCGCCCCTCCCTGTCGCGAGCTCTAGGCTCCAAGGCGAGCCGAGTTACAGCACGGTCAAGTACGACTAACTCCTGCATCCGGGCGCGTCTACGGTAGGGACTGTCCCCTCGAAGAATCACGCAGCTCATTGGACGAGATTTTGGAGAACGTCAAGTCAAAAACCATGACCGACCACCACGTTGAAGTTGTTGTTATGTGTAGCACCGACGGCGGATTTTATTGTGTAATTGTGCCGTGGTGTCAACTAGATATCGACAGACTTGCTGTCGTCACCTTCTCTAGCGTAAGCCACGCTAACTGAAGTAATTACTTCGAAGTCCTCACGTGCATTGTGTTTCTTCACGTACGTGCACACGGCAAAGTATGTATGCCTGAAATACACACTCACCCTCCAAGTGGCAAGTACAGGTCTACTGCTGCTGTAGGAAATATTTGAACAGGGTGACATACAGTTAATGTATTTGTTGTGGTACGCCAAAGCTGGCTTGTGCTTTGAGTTTTCGGACATGCATCGGCATGAACATCTCACGGACAACTGCAAGTTATTTTTTTCTTCTGTATATAGCCGCGATCAATTTTTAAAAATTCCAAAAACCGAAAAACCAAAACGCCAAAATACAGCCACCATGGGGGGGTGGTCATTTTTGAATGCTCGTTTCGCGCCCCGGGTGTGCGGGGCGCACTCCACTTTGAGCATCATGGCACCCACAACAAGAGGAGCGCATAAAGCAGGGGGGGAGACCGCGGCACCCTCAGGCCGTTCAGGTCGCCCTGTGGTCGGCACCAGGGCTACCCGCAGCAGCGGCCGCGGTCCGCAACAAGCAGCGAAAAAAATAAATCAAAAACAGCACCCTCGCAACGCACGAGGCGCGGCCTCTCCCTCCCGCCGCGTAACACGCGGAGCTCAGCGAAGGAGGATGCTGCCGCTGATGGTGCCACATACCCTGCCTCTGCCACGGCTAATGCTGCAGAGGCGTTGACACAAGCTGAGGCGCCTCCCGCTGCTCGTGCGGAGTCTTGAGGACTCACAGCGCAGCCTGTCTCTTCGCCGGCGAGGGCGAGTTCTAGGGGGAAGACGCGACGTGACTATAGGTCGATGCACGAAGGCACGCCGCCAGCTGCAAGTCACACGGCGTCAGGGTGTCAACCTTCAGCGAAGGAGAGGCGTGAAGAGCTTCAGCGGCGAGCGATGGATATGCCAGAGAGCGACGACAACAACAGCAGCAGCAGCGGGTGCGGCGGCGGCGGGTGCGGCGACGGCGACGACGATGACGACGTTGGCCGCGGCGCCGAGGAGGAGGAGGAGGAGGAGGAGGAGGAGGAGGAGGAGGAGGAGGAGGAGGAAGAAGAAGAAGAAGAAGAAGACGAGGAGGACGAGGACGAGAACGAGGACGAGAGCCGTGCTGTGCCGGACGGGTTCGACAAACAGAACACGGTGAGAGCGGGAGAACATTGGAACATGACGGAATTATTCTTGAGAGGTGCCGTTATTTTTTTGCGATCTTGCTGCAGGTTATGTACATGCACTTCTGTTCTACGCTGCCGCTATTGTAGGTGGTTGGAATTGCGAGGGATAGACTTGTAATTGTATCTATGTTGGTCAGCGTTCATGTGGCGTGTGATTGAGGCGTTTTTATCCAAATTTAAGTCTATACACACACCCGCTGTGTTCCACTGTTGCATCTCTCTCCTGCCGCTTGAATATATGGGGTTTAACTGCTTTCTGGCCGCACCAGTATAGAAAGCTCGCTCGCGACGACACAAATCTCGAGTCGCGAGTTTTTACGTAGGGGTAGGCTTAGCATGCTGCATGTAGAGCTTTCTCAGTTAGACTGTCGGGTTTGCGGTCGACGTACGTAGAGACTTAAGTGGGTTGAACTCGGGACACCTCCACATCGCCGGTGGTGCTGCCGGGCACGTGCTGGTTATCCCGTCGTGCTATGTACTGTTTGTCTTGCCTGGTATTCGCTGGTTGCGAGTTTTTGTAGCCTACAGTCGGGCCTATAAAAGCAACACTGGATTCGAACAAATGTGTTTCTTGTGCCCATTGCTGCGCGGCGCAAATATACGAAGGGATCGAGGTCTCACCCCCGCCTATGCCCCCCCCCCTCTCGCGTGCCCACATAGTAGTCTTCGGATCCACGCTCCCGATCCATCGGCTTGATGGTTTTACCGTTGGTTGATAATTTACTCTGGCAACCTTGTCTCCGGGGTTAGGTTTGGGGAAGGGTCGACCAGGAGTTCGATGTTGTATTTTACTATTTGCGTCCCGCGTACTGAAACGATTAAACCCCGCCGACGTCCCTCCGCGCCGCGCAGAGCAAAATGCTGTACGACTTCCGCGAGAAGAAAAATATCTTCGAGACCATCATCAAACTGGGTGGAGGGAAGTTCATGATGGTGGGTGCATATTATTGGTAAGGGTTAGTCTAGTGCTAGGGTTGGCCTGTTGCCAACGCTTCATGCTGGCAAACAGGAAGCAGGTCGACTTGGACAATGCTTTAGCTGATGTAGCACAAACGCTGGCTTCCCGATGTCAGGCGAGATCGCGAAGTATTAAGTTTTCAGGGCGTTTGGTAGTACAGGTTCACCCTGGAGCACCCACGTACGACAGCATAAGTTTAGCTATGCATCGATGCATCGGGCGTAGTCTCGGTCCTCCTTTCCAGAATAGTAGGCCAGCAGAAGACCCTCCCGGGAAAACCGGTAGATTCGTTTATAGTAACTCTAAGAGTCTCGAGCTGACTAGGGCACCCTCCCCCGTCCTCTCTCTACCGCCCTACCGTCAACCCGAGCAGAACAAGAGGTTTTCCTTCAACAACCAATACGGCGTGGTTGTGTGGTACAACGAGATCGCCAAGCACGTCGTGACCAGGCTTGAGAAGGATAGCTCATACATGAGCTCTATGAACGGGTCGCAGGTCCGCAGGCGTTTCGGCAAACGGCGGATGAAGACACTGATGAAGTGGGGGAAAGGGCAGATCGACGCCGACAAGAAAGCACGGCGGGAGGAGAGCAAAAGCACTGGCGCGAGCGGGGGGAAGGAGGCCAAGAGACCGAGGTTCCTCACCTCGCTCCGGATGGATGCGTTGAACGCCAACCCGGCCGTCAACACGAAGCAAGTCCTGAACGAGGGCTTTGACTTAGGCGGCGCTTTCGAGGGCGGTTAGACGAAGAGGACGAGGATCGCCAGCAGCGGCGGCGGCAAGGCCCTGAACCTTGACGGCGAGGGAGGGGGGGAGAGGAAGAAGAAGAAGAGCAAGAGCCGTGACGGCGGCGGTGGCGGAGGAAGCAGCGGGGTCGGTGCGCCCGTGGACGTCACGGGCGACGCAAGCGCCGGGGGTGGCAAGAACAGGAAGAAGGGCGAGAAGAAGAAGCAGAAGGTGACCGGGAGCGGTGACGGCGGTAGCGGCGGCGGTAGCCGCCTCGTCGGTGCGCCGGTGGACCTTACAGGCGAGGCGAGCGCGGGGGGTGGCAAGAAGAAGAAGGAGAGCGGTGGTGGGAAGGGCACGGGGAAGGGCAAAGGAAAAGCGAGGGCGGACGCCAATGTCGACGGTGGTGGTGACGAGGGTTCGTGGGCGGGGAGCTCCTCCGAAGAGGAAGAGCAGGTCACCGACGTTGCCCTGTCACCGGCGGGTGAAGGGCAGAGCGGGGGGGGGCAGAGCGGGGGGGACGAGTCTTCCGACTCCGAGTCCGACTCCGACGCTTCCTCGCGCGACGCAGGCGGCCGGAGTAAATCGAGGAGGAAGTCGAAAAAGTTCTCCCCCCAAGACACTCTGCACGTCTTGGGTAAGATGAACCAGAAGGCGGCCAAGCAGCGCGAACATAATTTCTCGCGGTTCGCGGGTGTAGTCGAGAAGGTCTTGTGCGGGGGCGGAGGCCAGGGTGGGGGCGGGGGAGCGAGCTCGGGCGTCGCGGACCGTGCCGCAGAGCTGGAGATTGAGAAACGGAAGCTTGCGCTGGACGAGAAGAAGGAGGCAGAAAAGCAGTGGCAGCAAGCGGTAGCGTCGGAGAAGGCTGGTACAGAAGGTGTCACCAAAGCAATGGTGGCGGCGGCCGCACAGAGGTACTTCAGCCTAACTTAGGAAGCTAATGGGGGGGGGGGGGCGTGTTTGGTCCCAGGGGGGTTTAGGTTTACTTTAGCTTCCCAACGCCTCCCCCCTCCTTGCCGCGTGCTTGGACTAGAAGTGTGGTTGGGGCCGTGTCTGCAGGGTAGGGTCGCGCATCGGCGCCAATACCAGGCGTGAAATCAGCGGTTCCGCGACAATACCTTGTCGCCGAACACTGATCCCTCGCCCAAGCCCGCGTAGCCGCGACGTCTTTGGTTTTCTCGATTGTTTTTCGTCTTTTCCGCTTGCTTTCTGCTAGTTTCCTTGTGTTGGGTGGGGACGACTTGATTGTGTCTTGTGTTATCCGCTTGCTTTCTGTTAACTTCCTTGTTTCGCATGGGGACTTATTGTCTTTGGTTTTCTCGATTGTTTTTCGTCTTTTCCACTTGCTTTCTGCTAATTTCCTTGTGTTGGGTGGGGACGACTTGATTGTGTCTTGTGTTATCCGCTTGCTTTCTGTTAACTTCCTTGTTTCGCATGGGGACTTATTGTCTTTGGTTTGGTCAATTGTTTTTTTGTGTTATCCGCTTGCTTTCGGCTAATTTCCTTGTTTTGGGTGGGGACGACTTGATTGTGTCTTGTGTTATCCGCTTGCTTTCGGCTAATTTCCTTGTTTTGGGTGGGGACGACTTGATTGTGTCTTGTATTATCCGCTTGCTTCCGGCTATCTTTCATGTTTGTGGTGGGACTGACTATTTTTCGGGGGAACGTAGCGTGCCATGTCGCCCACGGGGAACGCCGAGCGACGGACGGAGTAGGGATGTCTAAGGTCTTTGTTCATCTATTGTCGCAAATTTCTCGTACGATCGGGGTTAGTTTATTTCTTTTGGTTTTCTGGGACGTTGGGCGGTCGCAGCGTGTCATTCTACTATGGGTGACCAGGCGAAGCTCAGGATGGAGATGCCTGTCGTTGGTCGGCTAGCGTGGTGGTTTGTTTGTGTTGGCGCTCGGTGCATAAGCAGCCTGGACTTGGCGGGGGGTAGCTGGCTTCCTTGTAGCACTACTGTCTTTTCCTGTTTCGCGCCGACGTCGTCCTAATGTCTATTCTTGTTTCGTCGTTTCTTTGTCCACTGCTCACGGAGTGGGGGCGATTAGACGATGATGACCGCTGTAAGGGCAACGATTGATTGTGATGTCCCTATGGCTTTTTCGTGTGCTGGGTTAGGGGACATAGTTCCATCTTTGCTGCTCAAGATGTTTTATTTTGCATCGAAGGAAAGGACTTGGTATGTGCTGCTTGGTAATGGTTGGAGCCTTTGTGCGTTCCGAATGCTGATGAAGTGCTGACCAGTAGGTTGAAATGATGGTTTCATTTGAGGAATTTGGCGCTGATTGAAAGACACGTCTGCTGAAATGTCCGTCGCTCTGCAAGACGCAAGTCTGATGTGATGTTGTATTTTGTGGATAGTCTTCCAAGGATGTCTCTGTTGTTTTGGCGGGTTGAGTTTTCTCAACGGGGGTAGGTAGGCTCTCGGCGTATGTAGGAGGTTTATGTTTGGTCAGGGTTCTGAAGTCAGGAAGGGGGAAAGATGGCTGTTTGACTGGGTGCTTGGTGTAATATTATTTGAAGCTGCCTGTTCCTGGAACGGTACATGCATGTGATACACATGGACGGCATTGTCCATAAACAAGCACGGTGACTGTTGGTACTTGGAATAGGAATATTAGTCTGGAACGGATGGCATGGGTTACGCAATTGGGGTAGTGGATTGATCGCTTTATGTTGCGGGGACCCTTGCGCCCCCGCACGCACCACAACCTGATAACATGAGAGCAAAACAACTTAGTAGCGCATTCGGCGAGTGTCCACAGCGAGCTGCCAACGCCCTCGCGCCTGCACACAAAGACGACGACATTACAGTTACGAGGTGGTATGACAAGTGTACTAGGCTACCGTACTTAAGATGTTTCCGCGAGCTTCTTCGGGACACCCTCCCGCGAGCTGCGCCACAGAGACACAAAGAGTCCACAACGGGCAAATACACTTCGACTTGAGGGCTAGTATTGCCTATCATGACCTCTTACAGCAGAAGATACACACACTGGGCAGGCCACCGGAACAGGCCACCCCCCTGTCACACACACACACACAGACACGTGCGCGCGCCAAGCCCCCCGCCCTCTGCCCGAACTCGTCAAGAAAGCCTCTGCACAACGACACAACGGGGAGTGTCCAAAACGAGCGACTTCACGGATATTTACGGCTTTAGGGTTACTACGCCTCCAACGTACAACTCATGGCCACGAAACACGATAGGGCAGGGCAAGGGCAAGACCCTCATGTCAACGTCCCGTTGTTCCTCCTCATGCGCTTCTCGGCTCTCTTGCGGCGGCGGTCCGCCCGCGAGCCAGGCGCTCCCCATTCCCTCAGCAGGAAGTGTCCTCGAAGGTGTTCGACTTCTTGCGCCCTCGCCGAAGCTGCGGGTCCGCAACCGGCAACAATATTGTGGCCCGTCCCGTTCTTGGTCGGCGCGTTGTCCTTTCCCTGGTCCTTCGGAAACTGGCCCTCCAGTGCGAAGATGATGTTGTGCAGCACGACACAAGCGTTAACCAGGAGAGGGGCGTTCTTGATTTGGCAGTCGAGGCCCTTAGCAAGCGCCGGGAATTTCTTCTTCACACGCCCGTACGCGTGCTCCACTCGGAAGCGATGACTGGAGTGCTTGTAGTTGAAGAACCGCTCGGCCCTGCAAGTGGGCTTGGGGATCGGCGTGCGCATCCAATCAGACTCGGCGAAAGCCGAATCCCCGAGAATCACCGCGCCGTTGGCCAAGACGCGGCGCTCTGCTGCAGCCACCGTCCGCTCCGCCTCTGCCGCATGGTAGAACTGACTGTGCTGTAAGACGCCGCTGTCACCACAACTCCCTGGCGCGCCGGAACAGAACCAGCGGAACAGACCCTCGTTGTCCACGATCGTGAGGAGGGATATGGAGTAGAAGTGCTTGTAGTTGTAGTAAGCCCTCGCCAGGGCCTCGGGGGGCGACACCTTGATGTGGGTCCCGTCTATAGCTCCGATGACGTTCCTGTATGGGGCACAGGTCCGAACGTGCAAGATCGGGCGCGAGGGTGGTAGTCATTAGGGCGCGCGAATATGCAAACGCAGATATTGGGCAAGAGAACAGTGTCACGGGTTATACGTGGGTGAAAACTCGTACTCGCGCCAAGAGGTCCCAGAGCACACCGGAGAGGCTCAACATCCGTCCTCCATGGAGCGTACGCAAGATACACTCCTATCCCTCCGATGTTATACATTGGCCAGGGTGATGGTCCCACCGCCGTCTTCACAATCAGCGCTCCCCTAACCCCTGTACCCATATCCTTAGTCTATACATGCGCGCGCCATCGGCGATGGTAAGTGTAAAGGCTACAACAACGGGAAAGGGTCAGAGCTCAGGGCTTTGTAACTTAACGCGCCAACGCTGGGGACAACAACGCACGGACCAGCAGGGCCCGTTCATCGTCCTTCGATCTACACGCCAAGTCCGACCCGCACACAGGTGTACACTGAACTGCGTTAAACTCGGGCAACTAACACCGATTGGATGGGTTTAGGCGATACTAGGCCGGGGTTAGACCTACGGGTCGTACACACCTGAGACCCTTCTCCAGCTCCCACTCAGTGGAAATCTCACGCTGCTCCGCTGGGCTGGGCCAAGCGACATGCTTCCGACGAGGTTTTTCTTCGATGAGTTTAGCCACCTCGAGCGTGCAGTAGGAGATCGCCCCCTCTGACAGCCCAAACATGATCGAAGCCCCCCTCACATCCGTATTGTGACCCAGGCGCCACAAAAAGACCGCAACCCTTTCGCAGGGATCGAAGAACGGTCCACGAGCCCCCCTCCTGCAAAAGTCCGTCGTTCCGTATAGCTTCCTCACCAGTGTCGCGAAGGTCGTCTTCCTGGTTTTTCCACGGAGACAAAAGTCAGTTTACATCGCGGGCACCTTTTATCGGCTTTGCTGTGCTTAACCTAACCAGCTGCTAAGCACCAGGGTTAACTACAAAGCATAGAGTGTGTACGCTGTGGGCGTGAAAGAGGTGTACGTTTGTTTGGGGCTGGGGCTGCTTTGGGGCGACTGAGACAGGACTGGAGGGACAGCGGTCACGCGCGCTCGCAAATAAAAAATATCAACCCCATGCAGGCTCATCGCGCGTGACGGCTCTCGCTTTTCTTACCCCTTCATGCAAATGTACACTGACGAAGGGTCGACACGAACGGAAGGCACAAAATCTACGTTTAGGAGAGGCGGAGGTGCTCAGCCTAAACTGGTGAACAGCCTTGTGGTCCTAGGGACACCGCCGCATATACTGTCAGCCCTAGCTTTCGGGCCAGCGACATACCTGCACCGAAAGGCACTTCTGAATTGGGTGCTGCTCAGGTATCGTCCCGTGCGCTCCCAGTACCGCTTTGCATGCGGTCTGGTCGTGCCGTCCCTGGCGCTGCCGTCGAGGAAGTCGGCGACCTCATCATACCCGGCGGTTCCAAGGGCTTGCACGAGAGGTGTCTCAAAGTCGTCGTCATCGTCGTCTATAAACATCAGGGACGCGAGCAAAAGCAGCGGCGCTTTGTCGGACCCGGTGAACGGCATCCTGCGAGGGACAGCGGAAAAGGGCGTAAACAATTTACGTCGGCTACCGTAGTTACGAATCTTGACGTCACGCGAGAAAGAAGGGAAATTCGCGCAAAAGCTTGATGATAGGGTTAGTAACGACGCAATGACGCTAATATTTCGTCAGGAGAGTGTCCTACTAAGGACCCGTGCCGCCTGAAAGACACGCGACATTTCGGCGAGTGGCGCCTTCCCCCCCCCCGGCCCAATTTGGAGTGCACAGCAGCAACATGTACATATTGCACCTCTTGCTTGAAGGGTTCGCACAGCACCAGACAACGGGTCCTGCAATAGGGGGATCTTTCTTAAACTTCCCGAGTGTTTCTCAGATTAGTGTTGGATGTGCGTGTGACTGAATTGTCTTTGTGTAT